TTCACAGGCCGACTTGATTGAGGCCCAGCAAGATAGAGTCTACCGGCCCGCCAGCCAATAGGAAACGTTCTCTCTCTGTCCTTGTCGCACACTAGTGCTTTCCTTGTCTAATACCTCTGTTTATATTCTGTTATCCGAGTAACGAGTGGTTAGTTCGCGGATCCAAACACGAGATGGCGTTGCTCCAGAACTGAAAATTCTCTGTCCTTGTCTATCCCTATACCTTTCCTTGTCTAACTCATTTCTCTAGTGCTATGCTTGTCTACCCCTTTTTGTTTCCTTGTCTAACTCGTTTCTCTGGTACTATCCTAATCTACCAATGTTCCTTTCCTTGTTTAACTCATTTCTCTAGTATTAGCCTTGTATACCAGTATTCGTAGTAAGTATGACTAAATATATTGGATTGCGTGGGTAGAACTGTTCACGATTTTTTGACAGCAGTAGAACACGCGTATATGATGAATCATCTACTGAAAAACAATTCGTTACTTTTTTAATTGTAATTTCATAGTTACCTTTAATTCTAAGTAATTCCAATCACTACTCATGTTGTAATTTCTTTCTATGCTAAATCGGTAACGTTGGGAACGCCACGAAAATGGTAAGGGTCTTCTCGGCCCTCGTGCCGAGACTCCATCTTACTGGGCCTCAATCAAGTCGGCCTGTGAAAAATCATTAATAACTCAATAATTACGATTATTTTGTAAACTTTTAGACTTTAAGAATGCAGTCTGGACCTTCAGCAACTTTCTCATATAGCTTTTAGTGCTCCGAACCCTTCCAATAATTAGTTATTAATAATTTTAGTACGGGATGTCGGTAACGATACCGTGTACCGTCAAGTAGCTTTACGGTTTTTTAATAATTTCACAACTTTCTACTAAATTCTCGTCCAACTAACTACACGCATCTGAAAGGCAACTCTTTTGGCTACATTCTCGTCTAATTTTTATTAACATATTTGATTTAGTTTAAGAGTTATTAAACGTTTTATGGGAGAGCCTCCTTCCTATTCATCGTACTCGTGTGTAGTCAACTGTTACAAACAATTGCTAATATCTATTAAACTACATTATACACATATTTAAAAATTATTGCAGAATGTAGACAAAGGTCTGTACTATATTCTACATGCTGGAAAGTACAAAATTAATCATGCATATTCGTGAAAATGACAGAAATCCGTTACGCTTGAATGCGACGAGTGTAGTACTCACCCAAACAATATTTAGTAACTCATTATTTACGAAGAATTTGTGAACTTTTAGAATTGAAGAATGAAGTGTGGACCTTTAGCAACTTTCTCATATAACTTTTAATGCGCTAGACCCCTTCAATAATTAGTTATTAACAATTTTAGTACGTGATGTCGGGAACAATACCACATACCGTCGTGTACCTTTACGGTTTGTGACGTCACCGGACGTTGGCTACGGGCCAGCGCCCTGGCGGCCGTCGACGCCCTTGCGGTTTAGATGGAGGCTGTTAGGAGGCTACGGTGAGCGCAACGCTCTCGCTCGTCCGGATTGCCACCGAAAGGGATATACATTTAAGGATAGCATAAAAAAAAATTCACCATGTGAAGGACATACTAGCGTGGCGGTTTAAATTGGTACAAACGCAGAATATTGCAAAATGTTTTTTACATTTGCGCAATGCCGGGTTGCATATCACTGCCAACGCCTGGTCACCTTGCAAGTTTTATTCGAGTGTGGCTCGGTTTCTAACCGATCAGAACAGATCTTTTACGGGGTCGATCGTGTCGAATTCCCATGGGCACATATGGAAGGGCAGCCCTCGCAGAATTTCGACCGAGAATAGCCCGTAGAATGTGCGAGAGGCTGGCAAGCAGCGCTGGGGTAAGTATAAATTTTTAAATCATAAACATTTCGTAATAAAAATCAAATTCTTATAGTGGTGTACTTTTCTGTTTTATTTTAGTGTCAGCCGGACAATGGCATACCGGCAATTACAAGATGAAGGTGTGCACACCAAGATTATTACTTCCAACGGATGGAATATGCAAGGTGGCTGTTGGGAGAAATCGAACGGAATCCATCGTTCTACAGGTTACCATTTCTAACTGACACCACAGCCCCACCACAATCAGCCCCTTTCGGGGCCCCAATTTTTTAAACGTAGGAACAATAAATCGTTCTTAAATAATCCTCCCCACATTTCCCAGTGTCAAGTGACCGTGTAGTGAAGTGAATCGTGCAGTAAGGTGAGTTCACCGACCTGGCCGTAACATCAGCTGTTGAGGATTGCCTCAGGATCGGCACAGTGACCCAGTGTCCGACGACCCACTATTATTAGTACGTCTCCAGATCCTGATGAAGCTAGCTGCAACGCTGGCGAAACGTCGGAATGTAAATTCTTTTGGACACGGCTTACACCCGGAAGAGTCAAATAATCCGGGCCGTGAAAGTCTCAAAACTATAAAAGATTCAAATCTCCTTGTACAGTTAAC